TTTTTACTATTTTGGGATCTTTTTCAGTTTGGTCAGTCTCAGGTTGAGAAGTTTTCTTAAGTTATATCTAAGAAATTTACAAGTACGAAAACTGAAACTGAAAGCTTATTCACTGACTTATAGACTGTCAGTGAATGAAAAAAGTAACATTGGAACTCATAGACTTGTGACCCTATTACTTTTTTTCAGGGATCTTTTTCAGTGAAGTACATGGAATACTCATTTTATTAATCAATGGAAATAATGCAAGTATTACAATACATGTTCAGAATTTACAGAATGTAAATACAATCAATGAAAGAAGATATAGTACATGAAGTTATAAGGAAAAGTGGATTGTTGTTACAAAGACAATCTTATTCTAGAACACTTAGATCTATGTATTCAGGTACATTTTCACCAAGGTTTCTTCGACGTAGGAATTCCCTTCGTATTTTCAGATCTACGACTTTTCCAAGCATGCTATCATCTATCCAGAGTAAGATATAAACCAAGTGATCCATTGGACATAGATGTAGCTCTGACATTCTCTGAAATTTGACTTCACCTTCATAGTCAAGGAATATAACTCTTAACTCAGGTTTAAAATGCACAGAGTTGGGTGTATAGGGACCCTTATCTGGCAAGTCAAGATTCAGCAAAGAAATGTCTATACTCATATGACCCTTCAGGACTTTATCTAAGGAGAACCTTGTTTCATGTTCGTTCCTTAGGAATGGTCCATCATTAGGATCAGAGAGCTTTAGTTTCTTCTTCCCACCTGTCTTCAGAGTTGGCCGGTCATGGACCTTGACATACCTGGACATCCTTTTGATGAGCTCGTTGATGGTGTCCTCGATAAGTGTCTTGTGTCTCGACTTGGATTGCTGAATGGCTTGTCTGATATCCATCCATTCGCTGTATCCATAGCGGCCAAGGTAGGAAGGGTACTCGGTAACGGCATCAAGATTGTCCCTGGTGATGAGCATTAAGACCAGTGTTCCACCGTCTTTAGATCGTCCGCTGATGTTGAGGCTGATGATTGGGCGGGGACTGAGTCTCTTTTTCAGTTTTGCTTCACTCCATTGCTTATCCTTATCCTCTAGCTTCAGCTTCTTCTTGCGTTCAGCTTCTGCCATTGAAAGAAGTCTAGCTTGGGCTTGGACAAGATTCACCGTTTTCTTGGACTTTTTCTTGGGAAGGACAGCTAGTGACTTGGCCAGCTTTAAGCTGTCTTCAGTCTGCTTCTTTTGAAGCTCTAGCTCTTCTTCAACCCTTAATGCCTCGAGTCTTTCAGCTTCAGATAGGAAGTCAAACTCACCACCACTAGAGGTACGAAGAATAATTATTACTCTAGTCTGGTCGAGCGACTCCTTTAGCTGAGACATCTGCTGGTATGTTGGAGCAAAAGAGCTGGGTTGATCAGATACGCACTCCAGTCGACCGCAGGTTGTTAATGAGATATAAAGTTGATATTCTGAAGTGATCACTACATGAGAGGTAGAGTCTTTAAACAAGGTTTGTTGAGGGCTTTTGAAAAGTACCTTCAAGTTACCTTCTTTAGCGACCGCCTTGCCTTTCAACTTGGGGTCCTGGTTCCCTGATGGAGTCGATTCACCTTGCCTTTGCTCCCCCTGAGATGCAGAGTCCCCGAGAGCAATACCTTTGGTGACGGTTGATGGCT